CACTCGTGTGTTAATTCTTCACACGCCTACCATATTACAAGAAGTACAATACACGTCAGAAAATTTACTGCGTATTTTACTCATTCACACTTCCAATGAGGAAACAATAATGACAAAAACTCTACAAGTAATGACATTGGGAATCAGCCATGATGCATAAATAGTGCAAAAAATTAGTTTTTCTGCTTTTATTGTTCATAACATAATGCTAAAAAAACCAACAATGATAAACTACAACAAAAACAAGGAATAGTATTTTCTTTTTGTTTGGAAGACAAAAAATATTAATAATAATACCAAAAAGCCATAAAAAACTAAACAAGAAACATATCATAACCAAAATCAAAGGCTTATCATAATAAACAACTATTGATCAAAAACGATGGTCTTAACGGCTTATTGACTAAGATTACTTGAGTACATTCCGGCAAGGTTTTCGATAATAAATGAACGAACGATTGCGTAACAGCTATCCAAATCTAGTAAACTTTCTAGTAAAATTACTTGGGATTTTCATTCATCTCTTCGAAAAATTTTGATTTTCTAAGCATTTCAAAGCCTAAAACTACCCTCAATTAAAAAAATAGAACTGTTGTTTCTATCTGAAGCTTACAATAATTACGTTTAAACTGAATAATTCACTTAAAATATCTATTTACCAGTAAGGGATAATGAATTTTGAATTTGCTATTAATTCGTCTGATTGACGGATACTAATGATACTAATGAACAACAAACGCAAAACTTTTTAGTGCATCAATTGATAACCGTACAAATGGCATCAAGGAGCTGCTTCAACAGGACCTTGTCACCAACTTGATCAAGAACTGACGCACATGAAGAGCAATACCTGAAATATAAAACTATAAAAGTTGAAGAATACAACGAGTAACATGTATGGAAAGTCCATGATGTCCGTAAAAATTACAATACCTGCGTACTAAGTACATTAAAGTAACTTTTATCCACCTTCCGATTAACAAAATGATTTATTACTTTCGCGAAACTTTGTGCTGTTTTCATGCTACATCAAGAGGTAAGTTCCACCCCTTGAGACACGATATAGAAACAACCAAAAAATTAAGTACTAAAGTACCAGTGATTTCAGCGAAATTACACATCCATCAAATATAATCAAACAAACCTCCCGCCCTCCTCTGCATTGTAAGTTGAGACGCACAGAACACAACGTGTTCTACTTGTAGCTGGAGCCTGCACTTTGTTGGCGATGCTTAATATGGTCGTTACAGTACCAGTAAAACCATTCATTATCAAACCGTTTATAAAATCTCTGGAGACCGATTGTAATGATTGGTCATCGTCATCAGCTTTTACACGATCTTTCTGCACATTCAAAATGTACCGGTCACTTCTCTCGAATCTAAATCAGTACCACTTATAGGAATTATTTGCCTAACATTGACAAAATTTTTCGAAAGCAAATTTTTGCAAACATCACACATTTAAATTTTGAAAAATTCGAAAAAATCCCTGTATAAAACACGAACCAATGAGTTTCATTAAAATGATGAATGACATGAATTTATATTTGCATTCCCTAAAATTTAATCAAACAACTGGAGAATCAATTAAACTACGTAAAAACGGCAAAATACAAGAAATGAAAAAAATACCGATTGACAAGTGCAATTTCCTTTTCACTAATTTCCCGAAGTGGACGTATCAGTGTAACATCACCGTGACGTTTATCAACTACGTTGACCGCATGAAAAACAGAAGGGCCTGAAAATTTGCAAATTATATCATACACTATTATCATTACCAGCAAGAAATTGAGTAATCCGGAAACCTAAAGTTCAATATTTACCTCGAGGTTCGAAACTCCCTTCCGGATAAAAGTTATACGCTTAGGTTTTGAAAAATCTCTTGCTTCCCTAATTTTCGGATCTTAAAGTTTTAAAAAAGTATAACAAACCTCTGGCTAAAGCAAGAGATGAAAGAGTTGTTGAGGCTAATTCATCCGCAGACATGGAGAGCATTACTTTATGAACACCTAACTTTTGCGCTATCCGGATACATAATATATTTGAGCATAAGTATTCAACTTCCTTTTTAGTAGATGATGACGAACAGGAAGTCAACAGTTGAGTCCATTGTGATATCTGAAAAATCCTTGGTAGTAAGAGAAGAAAAATGACGGGCGTAACAAAAATATTTCAAAATAGGAATGATGATAAATGATTGATGATAGACTGATAACGTAAATGAAAGCTCTTAGTCGTACACATGCCATAGTGATGCACACCACAATTAACAGCAAAAGATTTACAAAACTTGTAATAAATGAAGCCGAGATGGTGAGCAGTAAAATACGGGTAGAAGTTCTACGACTGAATAAATCTAAGAGGTTAGGTGAAATTCTTGAGAAATAAGGGGAAATAAAGCACTCATCAAAAGTCAAAAGAAGATAACCTATTACCTTTTGCTAACTAGCATTAAAGAGATTTTTTCTTTTAATATACTGCATGTATCATAATCATAAATTAAGGTTTGACGAATAGTAAATGAAAATGGCCAAAAAAACAAAACCTAAGTTTGAAAATACTGTGAAAAAAAAGAAAGAAGTAGAGCAAAAGAAGGTACATGGTCAACGCCATAAATATCAGAAGATGTTTGTGGATCAGAAATATTGCTTTCGAACACTGCAGCAATATGAACATACAACCATGGAGCTGCGATACATTCCTTGATATGTTCTACTTCCTTCTTGATACTATCGATTACTGCTTTATCTGTTTCCTTCAGAAGAACCATTACCTAAATGATCTGAAGCTGAAAGTAAAGGTAACAGAATGACGCTGATCCAGGAGACTTAGAGACATGAAGAACCTGGAATTTCAAAGTTCCTATCGAAGTAATGGGCGACCTATCGAAGTAATATGACAAACTGATGAAGCAAATCTATTAATTTTAAAGCATGCCGGAAAAACTGTCTATGAACCTTCTCAAAAGACTCATAATGATAATCGTTGAACCATTCCATTCATTAGAAAAGGAACCGTCACCTGAATTCCAGAACGTTTCATTCTTGATTACAAGGCTTCCAATTCCTTCACTAATAATGCAGAAAATCTGATAATCTTATCTATTTGTAGATACATTACAGTCTGATTTAAATACGTGGAACACTTACAGTAGGCACAAGTGTGAGTCGTTTATGAGCATCAGCTCGCAGACCCTGGCTAACAAGAGACAACAAAAATGCACCAGCGTTAGTTCCATCGTAAACCACTAGTGTCTCGCGCTGCCCACCATCCTAAATTCCGAAAACATGAAGCACACATACTTCGAATATCCTGTCCAACTTCTAGAATGATAATGATTTTGTATAAAGAAAAAGGGAAGAACAAGTGGGTAACATGGAAAATATAAGGAACCATTAATCTAAAGCCTAAAGATAAATCAACAAAGAGTAGGATAAGCGTTGCAGTTCACACAGTAATTTCCAAGATACTTTTGAGCATTAACGGAATAACTTATGACCCATCTATTAAAAGTAATTGTAAATTCAATTTCTTGGCTGAGCACTGGTATGGAACAGAAACTTCGCTTCGGGACGTACATTTAAGCAAAAATCCCAGAAATATTATGCTTGGTTAGCTTTCAATATATATATATATATATATATATATATGTAGCTTGACGAATATTAATATCTGAGATGTAATGAAACAACGCTAACTTTATATAACCGTCGTTTACCAATAGCGGAGCTAAACTTATGTTTTACCATCTGAATGAAGCATGGCTTACAATAAGCTGCCTTCTTTGGATCCGTACAACATAACGTCGCTATTTGTGGGCATTTTACACATTTCATTTCTGAAGATATTTCACTTGAAAAAACAAACCGTTCATTATGGGAGTTATATAATGCTTACACAAACCGACTGAGTTCATTAATAATCTAAATCCTTTAAATACGCAAAAAAAAAACAAATCAACTATCTTCATTTTGAAATCTTAATTCAAATCTTAGTCGACTGTTTGTATAAAGGTTACAATCGATGACAAGCTTAAAGATTAAAGTCGGAATTTCAACAGAATACTGAAAATTTAATAACTTCTACGAGTTAAATTAAATGCTAGATAGAAAAGAGATAGTAACAGATAGAAAATTTCAAAATATTGTCTTCCTAGCAGAAAAGCAAACTCATCTGAGCTAATAAATTACGCAATATAAAAAAAAAACCTACGATTGGCAACAAGTAATAAAATGGAACGATCAAAGATTGCAAGAAATGTAATCTTTCTAGATTTCTCAAATTTCGCAATCTTTTTAGGAACAGTCACAGGTCCTAATACACTACAACGTGACGTTTGGTCTTCAAAAAATCTATTTCAATAATTTTTTCATCAAGAACAAGTAACGAAGTAGATATCATGCATACGTTACTTACGAAACTAATTTCGTTTCACGTTAGCGATAATGGCATTTCAGGTTGTTTACGAGCTTGTTATGCGATTGAACTATTTCTGAACATGCATTTCTCATCTCGTTTATAGAATTGTTTAATTTCTGAACGGCCATCGTATCATCTAGGTTCAAAACGGTCATAAAAATACTTTGTTCTCGATAGCTGTCTTGGAATTCACCTTTTCTCGCTTGCTTTTTTGCCCACCGAAGATGAAAGCGTCAAATCTTTTCCCCATTCTCTATTTGTCCAAGCAAGATCAAATTATTTTTGCATAAATCTAGCACCGAATTTTAATGACATTTGAATTTCACTAGATAAATATCACCCAATATTGTATGTAGGATTCCTTCATATAATAAGTTTCTGAACAGAACTTATCTAGTAATGTACTCATTGCGAAAATGAATGGATGCTGAGAGATACGACTCTTAGTTTGCTCCTGTTATGTGTTAATACCTTTATCCATTTTTTTTCTCTTATTCAATTACAGTGAAAAAAATGATTTCTAGTTGATTAAAGGTAGATAAAAGTGGGAAAAGATATCGGTTATCACATAGTTGGGACAAAGTGGAAGTTTCCTGCATCTTTCACACCAAACTTTTTTTTTTGTGAGTAGATTATCTGATGATTTCAGTTTTGTATACAATACAATCTTTTAGGCAGGTTCTTTACGCAAAAAAAGAAATGGAGTGAATTTATTTAAAATTTTCGCAAATATGGTCCTTTTCAGAAGCACAGAAAACATTAAGCAACGAACAAACATTAATTTTCTACTAAGACGAGGATAAATGTAAACTTTTTCCAGCATTTCAAGAAAATTTTAATTGCTCGAATTTTGATACCTTAATTCCTCAATAGATGGCTTGTGATCTGAACAATTCGAATAATAACCCTTGATGCGATAGATTTTTTTCCCCAGCTAGTCTATAAAGTTCTAGGAATAGAGTCGACCAGTGGAATTTTTCTAATTCCTGAAAAGACCCAAAAAATTTTCCTTCACTAGTCACACACTATTGAGCATCAGGTCAATGTAGAGAAGAAATATACTCCATGACTTAGTAATTGAAGAGATATCAAGCTGCCAATAGTGAATGGGTTTTGGGGAAGTGACTTGACAGCAAAAAGGTTGGAATTCATAGCCATGTTACAAAGAGCCCAGTTCATAAGTCAGTGCCTAGTGTCAAAGAAATGATATCAGGATGGAAGGAAAGATGAAAGGAATACTTAAAGAGTATGGATGATATGGTACACTATCATACAATCGGCAGATTGCGCAAAAATAACTTTCACAACATTATACAAAATTGGGGTTGGTTGGAGGATATTAATGGGTCATCAGCTAACACTAATTGTCTTTGCCATTTTCGACGTTTAACGCTTGTGAGGAATGAATTGATGATTTTCGGTATGACGTCTCACTATCACCCATGTTAACACTTGTTGTCGAGTCCGGCAATATCTCTTGCCTAATCACATAACGGCGCTTTCCAGTGCTAAAATTTTAAAATAATTTTGGTTTAGCTGAATTCAGTGTGATCGAATTTGGACATAAAAAATTGCAACCATAAAAGGAAAGAGACGGAGGATATTATATACCTGGTGTCGGTATCGCTTTCGGAAGGGCCACTTTGAGTTTGAAAGCGTCGTGTTGGTGAAACTGATATGCGGAAACGACGCTGATGTTGTTGAGATGCTGAGGAAGGATCCTAAAAGTTATTTCGTTTATACATGGAACATTCAAGGGGAGTGATTTCGTAATTTTGTCTGAAATCGAAAGTCAAAAGGTTCGTAAGATTACAACAAATTGAAAGAATTCGTAAGATTATCCAAAACAGGTAAGCGAACTATCACGTAATACCAGTTATAATACACGACGAAATGGATGATCGTTCTATGCAGCTTGCACTTGTATGTGTCTTCACATCAATCTACCATTAGCTTCCAGAAGTCTTGAATTGGAACTGTCAAACTGCCCCTTTAATCTATCCTCTCTAAGGCTGTTCAAAATTTAAGCCATATAGATTTTGTTAATTAACAAATGAATTTATAGTTTTTACTTGTTTCAATCCTTCAAGAATATATTCAGCTTTTCTTCAGCATAGCTTAACCTTAATATAACAGATAAAATTTGTTCAGATTGTCTTTTACTAGTGCATCACATAAATATTTCTACATGGAAATTGAAATTCAAACTTCAAAATCTTCGGTTTTCATGCAAGAAGAATGAGACGTTATGCATTTTGATGGATGATCATTGCCGAAATCGGACTCTGGTTTTTGTTGTCCTAGCAGAAATCTAGAAAGTTCAGGTCGAACTTCTTTCGCAGATGGCCAAGGAACAAATTCACGGTTCATATCTTCGGTACTGCTCTCCCTGTTCATATATTTTTTAAATTACTTTAAAACAATTCCTGATAATTCACATATGATAATGTACCTGTTGATGTTTGGAAATTTGGTGTTGCTACTGCTGCAATCTTAACACATACATTTACAAGGACACATGCTAATCTTTAAAGCATTCTTTTTGATCAAATACCGATTAGATTATCCGTATTTTAAAATAAATACTGTCTTCATGCGAAAAAAAAAAGAAGAAAAAAGTCAAGGATTTAATTCCACTTCATTGATTGAATCTAAAGGAATATCGGAAAATTTTTAAATTGTCAGAATGATTTGCTTATTCGAACTCGATTCATCAATTCCAATGCATTTACCTTAAACGATTTGAAGGGCGCGAAGTTTTGGACTGTTTTGTTTGAGTATTAGTAATCTGAGGCATCCGCAGTTCCGCTTTGAAAGTAACCTGATTTGCCACACTTCCATCTTTCGGAGCCGTTGGCGGAAAATGTAACTGTGATGTGGGAATGTGTATTTCGTCTTTGCTTTGCGATTGATGGATTGATGATACGTATGATTGTGCTAAGGATGGTATCGCTTTGCTCGTTTTAGGTTCATGTTGTGATGGCTTGTTGAACAATGAACTATCGGCCAGCCTACAGAATTTTTTAAAATAAGGATGAATGAACAGTGAAAAAATATCGCATGATAGCGAACACTGAATTATTTATTCTCTAACAAGTAGTTATCCCATTATTCAATACTGTCATTCAAGGAATAAGCTGAGATCAAATCAGTGAGCTGCTTAATTTAAGACAACAAATCATGTACCATACTAATTACTACAAGGATTTATTATGCAAGCTAATACTACAAGCGAAATGTGCATATGGTAGTTGATTTATGTTAGATCTAAAACAGAAATGGGATTAAATCTTTGATTTTATGACATAGGGCAAGATAACGGAGTGATGAGAAGTGAATTCTAATATCCAAATCTATTAACAGATGCACTACTGCAAAATATTAATTAGGTATAAAATAAAGTGGAAGAATTAGTGACCTCAAATAAACATATTGCTAGATTAATCGTGATATTACTTGTCAATACTGTTAGTAAAAACAAGCAGTTTAATGATGATTTATGCATAATTCCTCATATTTCAATGAAAAGAGTGAAATGTCACCGCTTCTTAAGCTCTCTTTATTGCTTTCTTTATTCAGCCTTACATCTCATCTCTTTTCTGGAAATGCAAATGTTCAACCAAAATTTAAAAATTACATATAATCAATACGGTAGCAAGCACTTCCTTAAAGATCCTTGAATGGTACAGCTGTGCCACTCTAAACCTCATTTAAACACGAAAAAAACTATCAAAATTTGTCCGCACAACGATCATCGATATCGCAGCTCTATGAAAAAATATTGAATTAGGAAAAGAAAAATCATGGTACCAGTGTATGCTGCCAAAGGATAAGGAATTACTGAACTTGTTGCGTGGAAACGGACTCGATAAATAATACTGACTGAGTCCTGATTGGGAATTACTTCGTTTAACAGATGATGCCGGAAAAAATACAGTGACTGGACCAATTATGCCAGAAGCGCCATTTTTTGAGGAAACAACTACTGAACCATGCATAGATTTGGTTAGTCGCTGCATCAAATTGCTTGAAAAGAAGCAAAAACAAAAAATTCCCTCTCTTCAATATTATAAAAAAATAAATTTGCACTCCATCAAATATTAAAAGTTCAAAGATCGAGATCTCAAATAAAACACAAAATAAAATAAAGTCGTGAAAGCAGCATGCAAGTCAATAATTTAGTAATTACAATTCAGAGATGTGTTTTTTTTTTTTCATAGATGTCTAAAGCAATCACAAAATGTTCTGAAAAATAAAAGTTTGAAATTTAGATATCCGATTACTAAAATGGCTGAAATGGACCTACCGTACTTCCTCTGATGTGGCCTCCTCTACCACATCACTCTCCACATTATAGGATTGTAATTCACTGTCCTCACCATCATCATGTTTGAACCAGTCTGTCATATTGGTACTTGATGGTGGAAACAATCTCTTGGATTCCGTCTCACTTCCGCTTGCACTTTGATCGTCCATATTCTGTTGTCTGCAAATTTCATGATATAACTATTCAAATTTCAAATAATGATTATACCTTAAACGAAATACTCCATAAGCTCTATCCCTGAATCTAAAAGTCGAGAAAGATCAACACAATACATCCTGCACAACAAACAACTTATAGAAATGGTGTCTAGCTGTACATTCAAATAATCCTAGCAGTTAGAAATGAGCTGAATTCAGGAGAATTAGTAAGAATAAGATTAATTCAACTAATAGAACTAAAATGAATCCTGGGAAATGACCAGCAACACTGAGATAAACACATTAATCCGATCATTTTACGAAATCAAAAAGTCCATCTCTTTTTCGATGGTATGTCAATCGTCAATCTAAATTTTCTTTTGTTTACTCCACGTGTTTAGTTCGCTACCTGACGGTCGTCTTAATCTTTGTTTACACACTATACTACCCATATAAGCACACACTCCTCTTGTCTTAATAGCCAGAGAAAATTCTGAGACAGCAAGAATTACCTAACTACAATATAAATATCAGAACTTCTTAGGCTCTAATTTGCCATTATTTAAAGAACTAAAAAAAAATTAATACGTGATTTGTTGTTGCAGAGGTTTGGGAATTTTCACGGGTTCTTGTTGGATCATCAGTTGTGGCAATGGTTGTCTCGTCTTCAAATTCTTTGGTGAAAGTGATTGACCAGAATTTGGAGTTGTCATAGTGCTAGTCTCATCTGTAACGCACAACGATGAATCGTGGTCTTGCTGAAAATATGTCTCTTAATATAAGAAATATAAAATACATAACATAAAGGTATCACACCAATTTGAAAGAAACTGTATTTGTGTCAGTTGGGAGCACTGATAAAAGCGTTATTTTTAAATAAAATCGAGTATTACCAGCAACGTTTAAAATTTTTAGATGGATAATGTCCGTGATATTTTCTTCTTATCTATCAATAGCTCTTTTTTACAACATTTTAAATTATACTTGAGAAAAGATAGAAAGAAAAATCACCCCATTGTAAAATCTCCATGGTTCGCGTCGTTTTTGCTCCACTAATGGTAGATATGTAATTGCTTGTTTCTTCTCTTGTCGATCTTTTTGAGAAATTTTCCTCTTTGCAGTACCAGCCAATTCGAATATTTTCTTCTTTTCTTCTGTCCTTTCCTGAAATTAATCGATAAAAAAGAAACATTGTTTTGTGGTAAATCGAAATTACAAGCCACAGAATTCATTTCTCAAATAGGAATTTAATAACTATTTAGAATATTTTTGTATTTTCATGTGTTTGGGCACATACTAAGCGATATGAAGGACACTATTTGAAACTGTACTTGTCGACCGACTTGAAATTTTTTTTCTTTTTTGAATTAGTAGAATTTAGCATTGACTCTTTCATTTGGCGAAGAATGAGAAAGAATTCTCTGATCAACAAATAATCATAAATGCACATTAAAAACAAAAAACAAAAGAGAAGGAAGTGAAAGAGAGAACGAACTTACTGCACAGAATCTTTGTGAGGGAATGACAACTTCTGCCATTCTTGAAACTTTTATGATAGAACTATTTTCTAAGAACAAAGGAAGGGAACTTCATGAATAATGTTTCCCATTAATTTCTTTCTCTATAAAACACTTATCGGTTATAACATTAAGGAATATTTCGCAGAGTGATGTAATAAATTCTAACATGTATAAGTTGTTGCTGAAGATCATTGTTCGTTTTTCGCAGTCCCCGAACTAACGATACTAGGAAATAAATGATTAACCTGAAATTACTTTACTTATTTTCCATTTCGCTCATTCTACCTTTTGTAATTATTGTATGCCAAAATCCCTTTTACAATCATCACTAAATCATCACTGGATAGTAAACATGAATCTTTTATGAATCAGAATAATATCAAAGCTTTCAATTCATACCAAATGTACACTGATGGATGACACAACTTTTGCATAGCTACATATTAATAGAAACACTGAAGAAAGGTTCATTTCCATATCAACGTATAAAGACAAAGTCAGTTTATATTTCGTATTAATGATGAGCTCTCATCTCTCATCTCAAAGAGAAAAATGCTCACATGAGAAGTAGAAGAACCGGTATAACAACACCTGGTGAAGCGATATATCTGAGCCAACCTATTACCTTTCTATCCAATCGGTCTTCCAACATTTGCGTCAATACGTTGTAAAATCTAGCATAACCCCTGAAAATAAAAACTTGTAACTATTTGATAAGGAAATCCTTATTTGTTAGAGTTGTCAGTATATGAGTATTTCCACATTATTGTATCATTTCGCAAAATAACAAGTAAATTTACTGCAGGAAAGCCGGTCGATCAACATCATTATTCAACATAACACCAAAATTTGACTGCAAATTATGCACTTTAGGAGCCAAGTGATACTATAATAGATCCGCACTTTAACAAAAATAGTAATGTTTCTAATAGTGTCATCGAAACATATGTTATGCTGTTGTTGGAAAATGGAGAGATTTCAAAATACTTTGAATATATCAACTTTTGAATTTTGTAAAATCAAACAGCTGCTGCTTACGCCCTTGTCCTAACATTGTAAAGGTCAAGCATATCTCTGTTTGTTACTTTTAACAATCTTATCCATCTCTAATATCATGTGCCGCCTTTTGTAGACATACCGCTGTTTATTACTTCAATAATCTCCTACGCTCTTGTTTAAACGTCATATATACTTTGTTTAATGGTTGTAAAGGTTACACATCCAATATAAAAGCCCTAACAATGGGAGTCCTTTTACTTACGGATCAACATCTTCCGACCCGTCAACTTTCTAATCTTCACTGATACAATATAATTCAATTGTCTGAATTATATTCCAATTCTTGGTTGAGCTGTTATTATATATTCACTGCAAATAAACTTTGCCATCGGTAGTTGCTCACTGAACAAATCAATCTACACTTTCTCTACACCTGGTGACCTGAGTGTGACTCAAAGAGAAAATAAACAAACGCAAAAGGTCCACATGAAGAAGAGGGTTTCTTGGAAGCGATCACATAACCAACGGGCAGTGTGCAAAGCAATAACCACAGAAGTAGTACCATTAAATAGAAATTACTAGACCTTAACAAAAAAATTCAGGTTATTTAGAAAAAATTTTCGACGAATAAATAAATTGTTTCTTTGATACCGAATAGATCACTCGCATAGAGTGAGTAAGCTACAAATAATGCAAAGAAAAGTAACGGAAATCAGGATAACGCTATGATTTCTATCAGAGAACCTTTGCAATTTTAGTAAATGATAAATGTTTCATCTAACCAAATAATATTCAGTTTTGAGAATTTGTTCCCAAGCTTATGCTGTTGAACTGTTGTGCTCCTCATAAAGATATATGATACTTAAATATGGTATCTACTACAGTATCTCAAGTTCTCTATTATGCACTGAAAAATCTTGCGATACAGTGTAATTACTATCATTCTTCATATTATTCTTCAACATTATCATTCTTCATGTAGAGATTTAACTGCTGTAATATTAAAAAATTTTGCAGAAAAATTAAAGCTAACCTGGAAGCACGGAATATTTCACGTGCTGGTACGTTGCACGTCATGCAAGCCCAACCTCGAATATACATCAAAATGATTAATTTAAGATTATTTAACGCAGGCAATAACGGAGCAAAAAACAGTCCAAGCCATACCATTCCTTGATTGTTAATAATATGAAGCACATTTTCTGCTACCTTAAATTCTCCATATTCCGGCTGAAATACTATATTAGCTCTATCTTCCGAATATTTGTCTATAATTTTATTGAAGAGATCAAAAACTCATTATTCATTGTATGCATGATTTTGTTGTTATAGTAGGAGCAAAATCAATAACTGACATGCTTTACAATATAAGTAAAAATATGGCTGGAATTCCCTTTAGTCTAAACTGTTTAACCAACTGATCAGAAAAAGGAAATATAAACAAACAAAGGTAGTCTCCATGTTCCAACACCACCATGAATTGCAATACTTAATCCATAAATCACGGAAGAAATCAATAATGAATATAGATGCAATAGTTATTATAAGATCCATAGTGACCAGTTTCGCAATCTCCTGAAGAACAAATAACTATTTCTCTGAGTTAATAATGTTTACAGCACTCGATAGCAAAAACACCTGAAGCATTACCTGTCCGATCATTGTTTCCCAACAAAAATTATTTCCCATCTCTGCTTCATCACCAATAAGCGCTTGCTTTCCAATGTGATAAAGAGTCTTGTTGTTAAGGACACCGCTTGGTCCTGTAAAAATTTTTTCGCATTTCCCTTATATTTTATACAAGAATTAACATAGTTTTAAAAATTCAAAAATTTAAAAAAAAAAATTGCTTCAAATGAAAACGTTTAATAACTCCAAAATGAAAATTAGTTTAATAAAAACTTGAAAATTATGGAAAGTAACTGAATATTAAAATTCAAAAATATATTTATCGTAGAAAACGTCGACCTCAATCTTCAACTTTGAAAAATTTGCTTTTATTTGATAATTTGATATGATATGAAACTTCAAGAAACTTTTAAATCAAATACTTTAAAAAACCGATTTCTGTGCATTTCATGATGCAAACCTTTAAAATACTTGTTATCAAGAATTATTTTTCTAGATCCATTCGATGAAATTTTCCGTTCCAATATCCCTTCCGTCATTCGGTCCATAGCGATCACTAACTGAAATGAAAGCTCTGCAGTTTATTTCTAAAATATATCCTAATCACATTTTTCAAATGTTTGATTGGTGGGAAGAAGGACTGATATAAAATAAGAGAGAACTTGATGCAAAATATCACATCAAAAAAGAGACAATTTGACATAAAAATGTGAATGTCACAATGACCATTAGTACCTTAAGTCTCCAATCTCTTCAAATACCATTCAATAGTAGCATTTCTTACCTAATCATCTCAGCTAATATCGCGATGTAACAATAAAAAGTGCCGTATTCTGAGTAGCAATATGACATCAAATTTATAGTTACACTATGTCATACCCATCACTCATTGTATATGTTCCCGCAATATCCTAAGTGGTGCAACAGCAAATCCGTGATATCCTAAGCGGTTTTTGCAATTTTAGTATCCTTGCCCAGAAATTAATTTACTTCCACTATTAATTCATCCGTTTTGATTTTGCTTTTGTCAGACCAAACATGCTAGTTGTTTTCATCATGTTTATTTCCACTATACACAAGCAATAGTATCGTTTTTGTAGTATTTCATTCAGTTAGCATGCCTGTTCTTCAAGAGAATACGTACCATATCATTGTTGTCTGGAGTGGAATTTGAAGTTGGCCGTCTGAAAGAAGCTGCAGTTGTTTGGTTTTGATTCGGTAAAGTAATGTTCACCTGTTCAGAAGTTGCGAAAACATCGGTGTCACTTCCTCCGGTTATATTGGTTGAAATTTTACCGGTTCTTATCATATCTTCAATAACCATAGAAGATATAGGTGCTTGTGTAGAAGCAATGTCATATTCTGAAACCACATCGACGCTTTTTTAAAAGATTTTAAAGGAACTTTTCTCGAAAAATTTACCAACTACTAGCTTACCTTTGGAATCAAAGGTTAAGATCGGAGCAGAAGTTGTTTTCTTTAATATTTTAGTTGGTTTTGGTCTCTTTTTACTACTCCATGGAATCCGAGTCGTTTTTGCTACCGCTTTTGACGATGCCTCTATTGTAGCTGCTGTCGTTAAGTCTATGGCTTTTGGAAGTTGCCATTTTGATCGTAATTCCCAATGTGGACCCACTTCCTAGAAGTAGTATTAGGATTTGAAAATTTTGATTTTCAACTTCGAAGCATGAATCATTGATGCTTTTCATCGTTACCTATCTGTAAATAATAGCAAAATATTATATCTGATCATAAATATATAATGCCAAGATGACAATATTTTGCTGTTATCACAACTTATCATGATCATTTCCTGCATAAAGACTACATACCGTAAGAACACTGGTGTTTAGTGTTGGATTAGGTGGCAAAGGAGGGATCGGAAAAGTTGGAAGTGATGGTGGACCGATCCGAATTGCTCGAAATCTTCCTTGATCCCACGGATAAGTCTTATTGGCGAGCAGTACATTTGGATTATTCAAACCAACAGGGCCATAATGCGACTCTACCTAAAAATATTTATGTATATTAAAAATACGTACATATGTGTTTATTGTATGTGGATAAGATCCAATTAAAATTGCAAATCTAAGCGCAAAATAACGATAATTAACTTTTAATTTCTGATTAATCACTGAATTGCTTTCTAAAGTCTATCAGTATGCTCATCTTACACGTTCTATACTTATTCACATGCATAGTTCCATATTAAGACTGGTACTAATTGTGGGAGTAAAATTTTTGTGATCTAATTGAGTTATGCACGAAGATTAAATCAAAAAGGCTTAATTATCATCAATAAACCGTTGACATTTAAATCCTTTCAGACATTTGAATAGATTTTTTTTTCGTCAATTTCTGGGCCTGTAACTTTACGTATCAGAATCAGAAATAATAAAGTAAAGAACTAACTGTGGTACCACTCGGAAATCTGGATGATGACTTCTTAGTATTCGATGTTTGTCGCTTCTTGCGGATTTGCGCATGAATTTGAGATTTTTTTTGGTATAGATTGGAAAAACGTCCTAAAGATGTCTCAGCAAACATATTGGCTTGCTTGGTATTAGCAAAATTACGACTGTGAAATTCGGTAGACGTCGAGTTTTGTTCATCGTGGAGAAACTGTAACAAAAAATTTTCAATTTAGAATTTTTGTGGCGCATTTGAATTTCTTCATTTCTTCGAGGAAATAGTGAAAATCTTGAAATTTGGAAGACTTCAGAAACAACAATCCTACATCCTGAAATTGCGCAAATGGAATGATAAGATATCCAGACCGACCTATTGCTTGCTATCATCATATTTGTCATAATATCACCATTTCATGCAAAAGATTTGTAACAATGAAATACACTCCTGATAATTAATTTTGAAACAAATATATGTTCCTACTGAAATGAAAGAAAATGAAAAAAAGAATACCATAGCATTCTGTTCGTTAATAATTTTCATCAATTCATCATCACGAATTTTGTCAAGCTTCTCAAATAGTGCTATGATAAATGTAATATAGTTGAGCACATGGAGAACCAGAACTCTAAACTATCTTATTCATTAATTTTACATAATTATTTGACGAGAATGAAATTTATTAGTAAATATAAAATATGTTACCATAATATTACCATTGGCTCATACAAAAGATTAAACATTCTTCTACTTCAATATTGATCTTAATGATTGATTTTAATGATGTCATTTGAGCTACAAGAGCATGTAATTTATCTGTTCAAATTCTCTGATAATTTTCTCACATATTTATCTTTTTGTTTCTTTTGAGAGTTTAATTATTTTGTCACTAAAAATATTTTGGTAATTATAGCAATTTCACATATTCATGAAATATTTTTTCATAATTTTGTGAAATTTTTTAAAATAAATTTGCCAACGTAACTTAGATACAAGAAACTACTAACGGTAACCGTGAACTGCAAATATCTCACATACCTTGTCAAATGAGCTCGAAGAGCAGTTCGTGGATGATATCTTTCAATCTGACCGATGAGATCGAAAATCATTGGGAAAACATTGGTTATAGTAGCAATTATTGTAGGTACCTGCAAAAACATAGCAATACACCAAAATATTAGTTTAATCTAATAAGGCAATGAATTTCGTTTTTATGTTAAAAGTACAACCTCCTTGATCAGTTTGATAACGATCTGACTGGTATTTTGATGGTACCAGAATGTTCTACTCAAAAAACGTCCAACTTTCAAAGTTAGGAAGGAAAGTTCGAGTAGCATTCAAATGGTAGAGAAATAACTTAAGCTGTCTATGGGATGCTTAAGTTTCAATCATTCCTGCTGCTACAGTGGTCTTTTTACCATTTTAGAAAATCTAAGCCTACATCAGGTTCAAAAGCAAGCAAATATGGAATAATATTGGGAATTAACTTATCATCATTTTGAAATTAAGAAAGACCTGATTCTTCGTGAATAAAGTGCCAGCTTTCTCGACTGTCTCAGATGTTTGAACAGCAAATGAGATCATATAGATCGAAAATGCAAGCATAGCCAGGATGATAGCATTCGCTATTACTCGAGCCAAGAAAAGTAACGGCCTGAACTTTTTTGCTGAATCTACCCGACATTCCACAATTGATTCCTACAATACATGTAAACAAATTTTCAAGGAAATTGATTGGAATCTTGCAAAAGTTCAAATGAAAATAGTTAAAGTTCCTTTATTTAAATGAAGAAAAAGACAGACATACCCTAAGTTTGATGACAATGGCCATTGCAGTATTATTGGCTGTTTCACTATTACCAATTGTATAATCCCAACTCCCGAATAGTTTCCAACTGAATACGTACTGATCCGTTTTTTTATCTGACAGTTTACTTAGGCGAGCATTCATTGCCATCCTGTTAAAAGCAACTTTTAGAAGCACTTCAAAATCTATTCCCTCACTTTCTTGTAATTTAATTCTTTTTTTTTCAGATTTTACTTCAGTTTATATTCAGTTTAAGAAGTAATTATATTCTTATAGTCAATTTAAACTTTTTTTGTTGAAAATTGTAATAAACTTTTTAAGCTTTTTTTGCAAGAATTATTGCATTTAAAAAAAATTTTTGGAAACCTTTAAATTCTTAAGGAAGCTTAAATAAAATGTAAATATCTAAAGAATGCTGTTGACTTCCTGAGAATTGCAAAGCAGCTATATCCGAATACAAATAAAGTGATAATAAAGTAGGCCAGTGGTATCGCATATCGTACACGTCCTCCAACAAATTCATCATTACTGTAATAACCATAGAATAATGGTGAATACTTCAAATAGCCCTGAAATAATAAAAGCTGAGTCATTTATTAATGTAATTTGACAGCGAAAACGAACCTATATTCAAGGAAGAAATGACTTTTAAGTTTTGTAATAACACCGCCCGCTGCATTTTAATGGATTAATCTTTGGAATTCATTTCAAATCACAACAATCTATTCCAAGGCTCAGTCCATATTAACTAATTTTATATGCTTGCTGAATGCTGCACTAAGTTGCGATAATATTATCAATGAGTCATTTAGGTGTCATGATTACGCCATAGGACTGTGCACCCTACGAACTATTCCGACTGGTCAAGCCTAGGACTGATGATAAACAAAACAATAAACAAGAAAGTACATCAAAATTTGAAACGACATGTAATTCATCTGCATGAATTAATTCTTGTGATGGTATGATTTTCCTTGAGGCAGTACGATTCACACGACTTGGATCTGCTGCCGCATCCGCCAACATCTAAAATTAATCTAATAACATGTAGCTTACAGGTGGAAAATTTTGCATTATTTCGTCGAATGGACTTACTGATAACAATATATGACATTTCCAGTGACGTATTGATATTTCATATTTGATATTCATGTGATATGCGAAAAAATGAAATGGTTTAATTACTGTTTTATTTTTTTAAGCAACAGAAAAGGCAATTTATGATGCAGGATTGGCATCATTTCAATAAAGCCTCTCTGACTAATCAATTTAAATTATGATAAGTTTAGGAATTTAGTGCTAACCTAATGGGAAATTATATAAAAGGAATTATATCTTGGAATTATTCCATCAAAACTGCAAAAAAGGTTGAAAAAGAACCTCTGGAATGACGACGAATGAGATTATAATCAAGGTGATCATCAAATTTACGTAAACTATCCAACGAAGAAAGGTGAAATATGAGGAAACGACAGATCCAAAATGACCTAGAATAAATGATCAATTTAAGAATTTCGTTTAGCAACTTATTATTATAATAACTTGGAAGAGATTAAAGGAATTTAGTGAGATGTTTGGTGATTAAATTTAACATAAAAAAACACACTTTCAATGCGTTTAATTTTAGCTTCCCATGGTATTAAGTAAATTTTGACATTATCAGCCCAACGACAGAACGCGCCCCATCTCTTCTTCAGTTCCACTTTTAACAAGTTTGTCTTGGATACCCGTGATTCGTGCTGCGCCACATATTGCTGTGCTAGTCTGTAAAAGTAAAAAAAAAAGCAATTCAGGCAAAGAGAACTTGAATTAAAGACAAAAATGGTACCATCAGTGATCCGATAAAAATGATACCACAACTGATACCAAATGATATCATGAGTTAGATATAAAAATGTTACCCGATTCGATAGAAATGATACCACAACAATAGAATTTGGAATCATCTACTGTCACTTCTGAAATCTAAAAACAATTTTCCACTTTTCCCAAATTATTCCTCTTTAATAAGACATCCAGAAGCAACGTTAACAATGTAAATGATTAGCTCACGAACTAACGTAAATTCTAAAATGCTAACTTATCACCTATATTCTGAGTAAAAGTCATTTCATACCCATTAATATTATTTCATATTTTGAGCTATCATAAAATGTAAATTGGTGTATTCATAAAATTAAAAAGAAAAAAAAACTTTCAAGAAACCACAACACCAGCAATTTACAATAAAAACTAAAAATATCTTGAAAAAAAGAAAAAACCGACACTTTTTGATAAAAAAAATTGATAAATTAATGACAATTGAATTGATACTTTCAGAATGATTTTAAATAATTTTTTTCGTTGAGTTTTTTGTGAATAATTGTAAAAATGCAGTATTTTTTGAGCAAAAATAATGAATAAGATTTAATTGAAAAAAACAAATATTCAGAAAGAATCAAATTTTAAGGAAGAAATTTAATTTATGCGAGTAAAGGAAAAAAAAAGTTGCATTGAAAGAGAAGAAATTTTTAACCTAATATTTTATGCATCAGTTTTCAACTCAGTGAACTCCAAATACTTCAAATGAATTCATTTAATGATACGATAAATAATCATTGCTGGGTATCTTGAATAACTGTCATTGCGACAAAATGTCAAGTGTGACAGTTATGACATCGTACTTGTTACTTTTCAAGAAATTTGAATTTATTGCTGAACTGAATAAGAGGCGAAAACTAAAATAATAACTTTTTGCAAAATATTTTATCAAAATTGATAAAATTCGATAAAGAGAATGGAATAAGTATGCCAACTTACTTTAGAGTACGTCGTTTACGGTTCATATCCCATGGTTGACAACGTAATTTCCCAATCACTTCTTTTTTTTCCCGAATTTTGTCCAGCAACAATTGTCGACTCATTGGCTGACCACTCTCTTCTAACTCTTCTTCTTGGTTCTGTTCATTCCTATGTGTTGTTGGCTTAAGAAATTCTTCGGTTTCCCTAAAATATTGATTCCTATATACGATTTTTGTTGCAGTTTATACTTTTGATATGCTAATTTCCTCTCACCCGTAATTACCATAATTTTCATAATATAATTGTTCATGATCACCATAACAATCTTTCCTCTTATTCGAAATATTGATAACGATCCATCGAACTTTCCACAAAGTTTAATGTTTATTCCAAACAGTCATTGTTAATCTAACGCTGATCTAATCAACAAAAATTTTTGTACCAATCGGCTTATCGACTTATCAAAGACAAAAAGATATTAATGATATAATAGTATCAATAATTACTGATAAGGCAATTTGATGAAGTAAGAATTTTTGTTATTACATTGTTAAATTACTGTAGTATTAGATCAAATATTTTTTTTTTACAAGCATTGATTGAAAGCAAATTATTTAATTCTTTTGAAATCAAATAATTTTTTTTGATTTTTTTTGAAAGCAAAATTATCTTTTCAAATTTATTTCCTTGGAATCATTGTGATAAGTTCATTTATCAAGTTTACAAGTTATCAAGCCATTTATCAAGACAAGTTTATTTAACTTACTTGCTTTTCTAAAAGAAAACGAATATTAGGAGATATCCTTCATTCATTTTCTCTATTTACTTTTAAATTTCATTCATTTCTTTTACTTCTTCATTACCTTCAATCCATTACTTAATGATTGTATCTTCTATTTTAAACTGAATTTTCTCCTCCATTTCCAAATGTACTGATAAGTGATTTAAATACATATAATTTAAATACATGTAATTTAAACATATATTTTTTCGAGCTTTAATTTAAATATTTAATTATGCTTTGATACACAATTATCTAAAAACAGAATGGCATTTAGTTGAATTATCGTGAAGATATTTCCATATTCTTTTGGTTGCGAAGTTTTCAAAAAAAACTTTTGCTAATTAATCATGAAAACGTAGTAAAAACTAACATTCCCAATGCGTGATTGTTGACAAGAATTGATTTGTTAAATTTAATGAAAAGCATTCTTTCTCCCTCCTTTCAAAACGTACTTCACAGCTGTTACATGTAAAAAGAGCCGTTTGTGTGTATTGAGAAGCGGCTTTATTGGTAGGAATTTAACTGATAACAATTGGAAATGTTAGTAATAAGCAATGCTTTCATTAAATTTATAGCTAACAATTAAATAAATGTAATCGAATAGTCGACAGGCGTTATTTACTTTTAATTTTATTACATTCAATTATTGCGAAAATATTGTATTCATGTTCAGTTATCATCATCGTTATCATCCGGCAACAACCGCAGCAGTAAGTCAAAACGAAGATGCAGTTTGTTGATCGTTATCCATAACTGATAATGTTGATAATTCATAATAATGAAATACAAAGTAATAACTTACTGTGTTTTATTCGTTATCGAATTTTTGGTTGATGAACGTGAAAGATTTTGTATCAGTCGATTTGGATGGGTACTACTTCGTCGAAAAATTGTGATCAGATCCGAAAAAACGGAACCCCGACGTACACTTGGTCGTGCCATTAACGCTGGCGGTAATATAGCCGAAGCATCACCAGCACCAATGCTCATAATTCAGATTATAATGATAATAATGACAGTGAAATACAGAGTGAATGAATGATGGCCATGTTTATCTTGTAATTATATGACATATCTAATGTATTGTCATAATAATAATGACGAATACAGGACGTTGAATAGTTGACTAAATCATTAAGCAGCATAATTCTTTCAATCAGGTCGATTTGAGCCCATTCAAATCACAGATCTCCAAACATTTTTATTTGTGAAATTATATTACTCATCCGAATAGTTTTACAGAAGAATTTCAATGTGAACTTTGCAAACTCATTTTGAAAAAAAAAAAGATTTCAGAAAGTATTTCGAATAGTCAAAGTTATTGAGTGGTGTGATTTTTAAATGCTTTCCTAAATCAACAGAATTCTGAATACACGAACACAAATTTCAACATGAAATGCAACACATGACATTTTATTGGGCCTTAAAACCAATAACAATTGGATTGTTAAAATTTAAGAGATGAATTCCAGCATGTTATCAAGCTGCCTATTAACCGATCATTATCACAAAGTTCTATTCATCGAGAACGCTCATTGAACGAATTAATTTGATGTTGACTTATATGTTTCAATGGTGATAAGTTAACAACACTTATGGAATAGCTAAAAGTAGCCTTAATAATCCTAATGACATATGAAACTTTAGCTTACAAAAAGATTAAAATATATTAAAATTTATTTCTAGAATAAAGAGAATTAGTAAAGTTAACTAATAAAAATATTCCGATGATCGGGAACACAAACAAATCAGAGTAGAAGACAAAACAAAAGAAAAGAAAATCTAATGGACGAGAATATGACAAGGAAAGGAAGACTTTTTGGAACAGTTGGTGATTAATTAACATTACAAATGCAATAAGCATTGTTGCACCAATCATTCCATCGTAAATAACTAATTAAACAAATATTTCTAAATCTTAATTACAATAAAAACAAGCTAACAGAATGACCGACAATTATCATTGCACCTTTGTCAAATAACATTGGATGAATGAAATTAGATGGCCTTCCTAATTAATTGGCTCCAAATAAAAATTTAAAAGAAAACCGAAAGTATACAAAATGAGGATTATGTATTAACCCAAACTGGATTTGGGAATTCGATTTGAATGGTCCAATACTTGAGATATCAATGAAAATCATAACCTAAAAATATAAAGTTTTTTTTCGGAAGGAAAAATGAAACGAATTGAGAGTGAAAGACTGAACGGCAAGCAGTATGCTGCTCCAAAAAATTACATCCAAGTCTCATTATTTAAAAATTACATCCAAATTACATGGTGTAAAAAATACATCCAAAACACATCCATCATTTCAACCATTTGCACCCACAGCGCAGTTATCCACCTTAAGCTATCACCGAGAAAACTGTTTCTCTCAAAATATATGTTTATTGTCATTCATATCACCTACCAAACCAATTAACCTGAAGGCTTTTATGACGAAAACGTAGCCGAAATAAATCTAAATCTTTCCGGTTCAATTATAGCTATAGTTACGGTAACATTGCTGCTGGTAATTATATCAAACAGAAATTCATTGGGAATAAAATTCTCAGAGGAGCCATTAAGAAAGAGCCTAAGGTGACCAAATTACGACATTTTCACTTTATGTATACCCGAGATTACATTTCACAACAGATGAAAAATTCGTGCTTAATTTAAATGCCAGAAATTTAATTTTAATTCAATTATAACGGTGAGCAATGATAAGCGATGCAATTAGCGGTGAATTTGCAGCTTTTTATAAAACGGCTGAAAAAATTCCATGCGATGGAATTGATAGGAGTAAGTGGCCAGAATTTTGATTCAAAAATGGTTAGCAATATAAAGGGATAAATTCGACAAAAGAAGATGGGCGGAATGAAGCGATATAATTATCTAATTAGAAAAATAGGTGAGAAGAAATACCAAAAATCAATTTATAGAAGAAACTTCTGGAAACCCTTGGAAATTCATCGTACAGATATGGAAATTGTAAAAGAAAGATACTTGAAAAGTACCTTTTTTTTTTATAATAATAGCTTGAACGGACGAAGACGCACTAAAACTACTAAATTAAATTCCCAAAATATTCATTTAAATTGGACACAATCTTGAATAAGTTTAAATTTTGCGATAGTTGGCGTAAACGCTGATCACAACAGTTGGTTAAGATGTTGAAAATTTGTAGTGCTGCAAACTACCTTGAACTAGACTGCTCGATCTTCAAGATTTTTAGAATTTACGCAACATTCACGACAATATTCGTTCTCAACTATTGATTGTCATCATCATAATACAGCAATAACTGTTCAATTTTATAAAAAACCCAAATACCATCTGTAAAATCAGTACAGTTTAAACCCGTTGAAGAAGATCCATGAGGGAACGACAATCTGGTACCAGCAGTCGTGGTAACTCCTACTCTCAAAGTGTTATGTCGTCATTGAGGCGGTTAAAAAGCTCTTAGTTGGATTACGTCTCGGTCCTGATTCATCTATTGAATAATTTCATCTATTGAATAACTGGCCTTCTAGGCTAATATTGCCAGTTTTTCCAACTATCTCATCTTTTGCATTATCTCTCCTCACGTTTATCTATTTGACATGTTACAGCTACACGGTACACATTTGTCCCAAACATTCAAGTCAATCAAAACAAAAAACCGATGATAATCCGACTGATTAAGGATCGATACTTTGTTTGACCTGAATCTGTTCCAAAAAGCAATAAAAAATAGACTGGCGACTTATTATAATGGATTGTAAATACTTCTCTTTTTCCTCTACTTTTCGTTCAATTTCCGAACTATAATAATCCACTGAAAGTTTATTTTCTTGTTGTAAACGGATTTCAGGAATGAGAAACGAATTGAAATAAAATCAAATAAACAACAAAACTGAAGTTCCAAGAAATTTTCAAATCCAATTTTCGCTCCCTGCAACCATTTGTTTCTCTTAAAAATATTTAATCATGCCAGTTAACTCAATGAAAAAGCGACCGAAATGACAAAGCAGAAAGCTTCCAGCAACATATCTCGTTAAACTTAATATTACCGATTACGATAGCCATTTGTGTTCTAATTTATCGCTTTCTCTTCTGCTTGATAATGGGAAATAAACCGATAAGCCTTATTCCATTTTGGCAAGGTTAAAATTAATTTTTCCTCAGTTATTTAAGGGAGCTATTCATATTTGATTGCTTTTTATTTCTTATTTTTTCAATTATTAAAAACCAAAACTCAAAATGTTAACAAAAAAAAAAAACAGAAAAAATCAAATCGTTCTTTACATGATAACTCTATTGATAAAAGCAATACAAAACAAGATAAAAAGTTAAGTTTATTATACTCAATTACATTAATTCTTCAAAATCCAACTACTACCCCTAATTGCTGCCAGTAGCAAAGGCATTGACCTCATGACCTAATCTACCTGGCACGATTCCAACCATTTTTTCTCTTTTCTAGCCATTTTTGGGATCATATCAATTAGCCGTTTTTTCCCTTCAATTCATTTATCGGCTGTATTTCGTTCGTGCAATTTTTGCTACAATTTACGTAATAGTAATTATCAATAATGTAATTTACATAAACAGCTGAAAATGTGTAGCCAATTTACATTATCCGTAGACAATCCAATTTTCCAACCATTTCTTTTTTCAAACTTAACTATCGCTAAGTGGAACAAATATCATGAATTAAGTGAAGTGCTTCAAATTGTTTGAAGAGATTCACAACAAACTGTATGTAGCATTATCAGCAAGCAATGTAACACTATCGAACAATTCGAATAGATGAACCAAATCCCTGAAGTGTCACGATTTTAATGTTAATAAAATTGTAACTAATGAGTCAAAATTGGACAGGAAGAAATTTTTGAAAAACTTTTTTTTTCAGCTTACCAAAAAACGAATGGTTTAGAATGGATTTCATTGATTGTTTCATTTTTCTTTTCATCTTTAAATAAATAAATTGCATCTATTTTCTTCATAAATTTGAAATTAGGTTGATATGAAAGCATGAGAAGAAAAATGAATCCAATCTGAAAAATTAATGCCTGTTGTTGGGCTCCGAAAAATTATTATAAATAATGCAACCTGTTGCTAAGATGACCAGGATAGACTGCTTATTCAATAGAACAATTTCCTCGTCAGAGTTGCAATTCCACTTCAAGAAGATGCTTCCCGAGAAATCCAACTCATCTCAAATTAGCATCAGAAAGCAGAGATTATCAAAAGATTATCAAAAAATTATCAAAAGATATCCAACAAAATAAAACAATTTTCCGCTGAACAAACATCTACTGGGTATCGACACCACAATTGGTATTTCAAAGGAATATATATATATATATATATATATATATATATATATATATATATATATATAT